TTTCAAGAATAACCGAAATTTTAAAAAAAAAAAAAAAAAAAAAAAAAAAAAGAGAGAGAGACAAAAATGGTTGTTCAAAAGGGTAAGCAGACTGCCAGAACATTCACAAGTTCAGAGATACTGGAATACCGGGGATGAGAAACTGGAAAATTTGCAGTTTTTTCCATATGTAGCATTGGTCATAGCACCTTTTAATCACAGCAGCCTGTGTTTCACCATATCCTATTTGTTCTTCAGTCTCTCTTGAAGATTAAATGATGTATATTTGATGAGATGGCGATTCAGTTTTTTCTTGCTGTGTGGTTGTTTCTGTCTGCATAGCCATGTGTTCCCATCTCGCTGTGCTCCATTAAGACTTCAGGTTTAATGAGTCTGGGTCTTAGGGATATCAGCTTCGTTTATGTGGCAGCAGAGCTGCGGAGAAGGGAATGTACAAAAAACGTGGCTTCTGTTTGTGCGTCTGTAGTATGATGGTGCTGGAAAGCAGTTTTGTTGACTAGCAGGCAAGAAATCAGCCTGGAAAAAAGACAAGCAAGTATCTAGTAGGAAAGAAATCCAGAGCTATCCAGAAGGAATGATGATATCTTAATTTAATGAGAAATAAGGAGACCCTGTATTTACAGTCTTGTGGCAGCATCTCATCATCCTTTTTTGGATTTCTTCCCAGTATATTGACTCTGCTGACTTGGAGCCGGATACTCTGCAGGAAGAACCTGTCCGATACCATGAAGCATGGCAGAAGCTGTGTGGTGCTGAGTAAGACTCTTATATTCTGGCTGTTTCTTTGACGCATGTCTGATAAACTTGTTGCTATTGACAGTTTTGGCATTAAGAGCCTCACTGGAGACTGTTTCCTTAGGCGCTGTACCAGCACACTCTGACACTGCCCCAAATACCGCTGAATGAAATTTAGGATAAGTTGTAAAATGGAGAATTATTAAATAAGCGAGGGAGTTTGTGAAAGGCAGCAGGAGGGGAGATGATTGTGCAAATGAGGATGTGCACAGGCTTAATGGGGAAACAGGGTGAGAGGAAATAAGGGGAGAAGATGGGTACTGGCAAAGGCTATTGAAGCCAAAGAGAGAGGACAGAAGGTGTAAATGTGGTATGAAGTTCTTTAGGAAGAAAGCATGAGAAGGGAAGAAGCGTTAGGATGCAGAGGAGTGCCAAGAGTTAGCCCAGAAAGCAAGAGCAAGGGGGGCTTGTTAGCCCTCAGGGGAGCGGGCTTTGGGTGGTACCAGGAAAACCAAGAACTTCCTGCAGAGTTTGGTGTCCTTATCCCTGCGGTTGGGACAACTCGACACTGCAGCCAGCGGCTTCCTCGGCGTGGGCCTGGCTGGGTGATATGTTTGCAAACGTGTTTGGTGCAGAGCGTGTGGGTCGTGCAACATGAACCATTTCAGTATTGTAACCTGCGTTGTATTTGGAATTTCTTGGGAAGGTAAAACGTGCATTTATAAAATGTTTCCCTGAAAATTCTGTGCATTTTATGTGATGGCTCATGTGGAGTCATATGGAGACTGTGCTACAGACAGGCCTTGCCACACAGGGCACTTTAAAGCCCTTTTTAGGAGTGAGGTCTTGCAAGTTCAAGATTTTACAGGAGGGAGGTGGTACGTGGTTGGGGGGAGCCAGGCTGGTGAGCCCTACATGAATGGAATCTTTTCATCCTCATGCAGCGGAGTTCTGGTTCCTGGTGGATTTGGTGTTCGAGGGACAGAAGGCAAAATTCAAGCTATTTCTTGGGCAAGAAAACAGAAAAAACCCTTCTTAGGTGAGAAACATGTTTTATCCGTAAGAAGAAATAAAGAAAAGAAGGAGGTTGAATAACAGCCTAACTGGTCTGCAGTAAGAGTTTTACTGATTTTCATTAGTATCTAGAATGTACAATTTTGAAGATAATTGGCTGAGGAAGGCAATGATCTGTGCTCAGCTCAGTAATGCAGCCGTCATCTGTAGCTAGCTCTGAAGTGGTCAGAGTTGGCTGGGATGTGATGCCATGGAATCTCTGTAATGAGGGGGCAGGGGTCTCGGAGGAAGTTTCAGAGGAGGCTGTGGCGATCTTGGCACGAAGAAATATGCGACTGCATTTAAACGAAATGGACGTAGAGACTGGAAATGTTGTGTGAGGAGAGTGGATGGGCAAGGGAGGTGTGGAGTAAAACTTGTCAGAGCTACTTGGTACAGGGTGAGCAGTCGAAGGTCTGTCTCATCCGGGTTTTCCTCCGACTCAGGACTGCCCTGTGCGTGTGCTTTGCGGCACGGGCTCGGTCGTCCTTGTCCCGACTTGATCTGTGTTCTGCCTTGCCTTCTGCAGGAGTTTGTTTGGGAATGCAGTTAGCAGTTGTGGAGTTTGCACGCAATGTTCTTGGTTGGCAAGGTAATTGCACAAAACCCTGCCTGGGTTTTGGTCATTTCTTTGATTGCTTGAGTAATACCTGTAATTTTTTAAATACCTGTAATTTTTAATTTTTCATTGGTAGGTAGATTTAATTTGTTCTAGGCCTATAAAATTCCCCATCTTCTTTGCTAATTCAAAGGAAAAAACTATTTCCTTATCCTATTCAAATAAAAATCAATGGAGTAAGACATGCTTACAATGACAGAAAACTTCCTATTGCTTAGAGCGAGGTTCAGCTCCTGAATAAGACACCTCAGTGGAGTTGTGCCTATGTGTGCCGGACATCCTAAATTTCCATTATGGCCAGTGGGAATGAAGACCAAAAAGCAATTCAGCCGATGAGGCAGTTGCAGCTACTTCAGTGAGTTGAATTGCTTTCTGGCTCCGCTGCTTGAATTGACTAGGTCCCTATTGTCAAAACTCCCTTTACAGGGTGCTAAATTTAGTTTCTCAGCCTGATTCCGAGTCTCACCAGTAGTGAAGGTAGGGGAAAATGTGTTTCTCGGTGTACTTCTGCTCCCTGGCTTTATTTAAAATATTCTAAGCTGTTTGTGTGCTTTTCCTGAACGACCCTCACTTTCATCACCGATGGCACTAGACTGGTTGCGCTAAGATTGCAACCTCCAGTCAGTCTCAGAAATCCCTATGGGAACAGTGCTGACAGAGTCCTGTTGCTGCTGCCGGGGGCCGAGCTGGCGGCTCTGTGCAGGTGAGCGGCTCAGCACAGTGAAGGTCGCCGCTTGCCAGAAGCGTGGGGACGAGACGCAGCGCTACCTGGGGGAGGTCCTGTAAATGCATGTCATGGTATGAGGGACTTCGGTTCTGATTGATGAACGTTACATTGCAGATGCTAACTCGACAGAATTTGACGCCAAAACTGCTCATCCAGTGGTGAGTTTATGGCGACTTGCTTGCGATATCCTTATGTGCCAGGCTTCTCTGCACATACCTGTTGGTGCTGTTAAGAGCTTGGATTCTTACGTCTTGTGGCTTTTAAGTCTGTCTTCCATTATTTACTAATCTGAAAAGAAAATGTCTTTGCCTAGGTAACTGTATGGCAGTTGCTGCTTCATAGAAGATTGCAGTGCTTAGTATAGGTGAAACACTACTTTTTTTTAACTTTTATTTTTAATTACACTTTTCCATAAAGCGAGGTGTTTTCTAAGAGGTGAAAGGTTCTTAAAGGGCAGTTTGAAAGCTAACTGATTTCACAGGGTAAATGTTAAAGATTTGGTGGTATCCAGATGCCACTGTGTAACTGTTTAATTATGATCTCAGAAATCAACATAGACATGAATTCCTTGGAGCGTTTGTGGACAGATTTCTGAACCTGCAGGCTCGATGTGCCTTGTCCACCATGATGATTGGCTTATACTATAATTTAAAATTCTACTCAAAAGAAAAAAGTTCTCAAAAAAACAGCTTATGGAGTTATTTATCAAAGTATAAAGGATTCTGATTTGGGGATTTTGTTTCTGTAAAGTTGTTTGCTTGTTTTTTTAACATGTACTTCAGTAAACAGCACGGCATTAGTGCATGGGATCTCTGTAGGCTTTGACTGAGACCATTTCCTATGCTAAAGCTTCCCGAATACCCGGAAACCTTCCATATGTTCTGTGCAGCCCTTATGAGAACGACTCCGCTAACTAATCTAGTTCTGTTGGTCTGCCTTGTCAAGACAATGGTCCTTGGGGTGGTTTGCTTGTTTTCTGTATGTGTATTGGTTTTTTTCCCCCTTTAACGTTTCAGAGTCTGCCTGGCACTGGAATTCCTCCCTCACTCTCACCTCCCTCTCTGAATGCTTTTTACAGGTCATAGACATGCCGGAGCACAATCCTGGGCAAATGGGTGGGACCATGAGGCTTGGCAAGAGAAGAACGCTCTTCCAAACCAAGAACTCAATCATGAGTAAGGCATTTCCTACCTCTTTTGGAAGCGTTTCCTAGGAATGATGTGCATGTATGGTGGGTATGGGGAAGTGAGACCTGGGAATGTTAAGGCATCCTTCAGTGGTCGATGTTTGCAGACTGTGTTCTGGTAGTGAAATGGAGGTCCATGAATTTGGTCCCCTGTAGAAGTGGCAGGTTCTGGTGGATGCTATTCGTATGAACTTGTTAAAACTTGGCATCGTGTGAACTGTTTGGCATTTGCTCTAAGAAACGTCTTCCTTTTGGCGTAGGGAAGCTGTATGGAGATCATGATTTCTTGGAAGAGAGACACAGACACAGATTTGAGGTAAAAACGCTATTGTAGGCGTTGAGCTTTTCTGTGTCATCCAAACACAAGACATCATGGGTTTTCTTGCTTCTGGTCTTCCAGGTCAATCCAGAATTGAAAAAGTGTTTTGAAGAGCAAGGTTTGAAGTTTGTAGGCCAGGATGAGGAGGGAGAGCGAATGGAAGTGGTTGAGTTGGAAGGTGAGTACTTAAGCAGTTTGTGGGTGTAGGTATTTACAAGGGAAAGTATTCGGAGGGTAATTGAGGAGGTTTTCGTGTGGGATCAGCCCAGGCTCTCTCAGACTGATTCCACCCATAAAATTACACTAAAAAAATAATCCCATGTGCCTGTCTATTTAGGGACCAAAGGCAGGACAGAAATGACGCTTCTTCCCCATCATCAAGGCTTCAGTGTGATCAGTGCTTTCAACTGCAGTTCAGCAACAGGCTTAAAAGACTTGGAATTAATGTTTTCTGTTTCTTTCTCTTAGACCATCCTTTCTTCGTTGGTGTTCAGTATCACCCTGAATTCCTCTCTAGACCAATTAAGCCATCTCCCCCGTACTTCGGCCTCCTCTTGGCGTCTGCAGGAAGACTCACGCATTATCTACAAAAGGGCTGCAGGCTCTCACCCAGGTAGGTTGAAGGAAGACACCAGTCAGACCTTTCACAGGGTCTTCTGTGAAGAAGGGTCTTCTTCACAGGGTCTTCTTCACAGGGTCTTCTTCCTGCTTCTTCCTACAGGACAAACTGGAGAATCCTCTTGGCACAAAGTTACTGCGGGGTAACTAGCGGGTATTTGCAGCACCTCTTTCCACTCTTTCTTTGAAACCTCTTGTCTTGCATTTTAAGATGGACTGTAGTGCCATAGGGCTGGCCCGCAGCGAGGTCCCGACCGCAGGGACAGTAACTCTGCGGTCTCACGTTGTCAGTCAGAGGTGTCGGGGGCCTGCTTTTTTAGATGATTGGAGCCCCCATGGGGTTTTCCCCGCATTCCTTGTACAAGTCCTAGGTACAAGTTGGTCCTTAAGAAGCTTGTTCCTGTTGCGGGTTTAAAGAACGAGCCCTGGTGGTTGCAGCTTCATTTTTTTTCTTTCTCCTGACTTAAGCTTTCTTTTGTCTCAGTTTGCAAAGCCGCTAATGTTTTGGGTGACTTAACGGTACACTGACTTCCCTTTGCTGCTCCCTAATGCCCCGCAGGTCTGCCCAGCAGACGTGGCAATATGCAATAAATAAACATCACTTTGATAGTGACCCATTTTCCTCCTTATAGAGGAGAACACAGAGGATTTGCGTATGTAGCTGGAGTGCTAACATGCACTAAACAAAAAACCCCAAACTCAATGCAAAAGAGAAATAGCACTGAATGTATTAAACTAAAGCAATGCAAAAAGGCAAGTATTGGCCTTTCTGGGTTGAGCTGCAATGCAGCTGCACCCCAGGAATTCCCGTGTCGATGTCTGGAGAGCGGCTGTCAGTTGTGCTCTCTGATCTGCTCTGAAGAGAGTTTCTGTGGGAAGATGCCTCATTTCACTGTTGAGGGGCATTTTAATTTCCTGCTTTTGCACATTTGCGTTTGAAATGGCTTCTCGCAGCAGAGGAGCTGAAGTTTCCTCTCTGCTGCAGTATCCTAAGTTAGTAGTATCTGCTCTTGGAGTCTGTTGTGATTGTGGTCACAAACTGTTTCATGGTTAGCATATAATCTAAAAATACTGGTGGCAGTTGTAGCCCGGCCTGTGCTCCCCTTTATTCCTGTGCCCTTGTAACTCTTGCCATGTTTTCAGGTGAGTCTCATCGTTGCACCCATGAGGTTTGCATGGGAACAGACCACACCTGAGGATGGGAGCACTGTTCGGAGGGAGCTGGGCTGCAGGGGTGGGGCAGCAGGAACCCGATGAGGCTTAACAGGGACAAATGCGGAGTCCTGCATCTAGGAGCCCCTTGCAGTAACGCAGGCTGGGGACAGAGCAGCTGGGGAGCAGCTCTGCTGACGGGGTCTTGGCGAACAGCAAACTGAACACGCACCGGCAGTGTGCACTGGCAGCAAAGGAAAGACAAACAGCACCCTGGGCTGTGTGAGTAAGAGCACAGCCGGCAGATGGAGGGAAGTGATTATGTCTCTTTACTTGGCATTTGTTAGACCACATCTAGAATATTCTGTGCGGTTTGGGGTCGCCCAGTACAAGTAAAACATTGATAAACTGGAGAGAGTTTAGTGGAGGGCCACTGAGAAGGTCAGGAGGTTGGAGTACTTGCCCCACGAGGAGAGGCTGAAGGAGCTGGGCGTGTTCAGCCTGGAGAAGGGAAGACTTTGCGGGGGACCTAAGAGCAGCCTGCCAGCCTACAAAAACGTTGTCAAGAAGATGAAAACAGGATCTTGACAGAAGTGCATGGTTGGAGGATGAGACGCGGTGGACATAAACTGAAATAAGAGAGGTTCTGACTGAATATAAGGAGAATCTTTTCACCATTAGATCAGTCGTGCATTGGTGCGAGTTGCCCAGAAACGCTGCACAGTCTCCTCCCTTGGAGACTTTTGGGATGTGACTGGATAAAGCCCTGAGCAGCCGTGCCTGATCTGATCGCTGTCGCTGCGGTGTGGCTGTCCTGAGGGCCCTTCCCCTCTGAATTATTCTGTGATTCTGAAAAAGCTGTTTCAGGGGTTAAAGGCAATCAGCCATTACTGGGAAGCTGAAATAGGTGGCTTCTGGGTGGTTAACCAGTCTCCTATTCCCTATTGATTGAATTTCCTTTATAATAACTTACAAAATGTCTATTACACGTATGATCATTTTAATTCGCAAACCTTAAAATCGATGATGACTCAGCCCTATTTCCGAAGGGACAGCTGTACTAGGAATTTTGTGTGCTTTGCTTTTCAGCCTCAGCTAGCAGTGCTTACTGCCCAACCCCGCTAATTCCTGATGCAAAACTGGGTCTATAAAGCACCTGTGCTCCGTAAAACAAAATCTTTCTGAATTCTGCAGGGACACCTACAGCGACAGAAGTGGCAGCAGCTCGCCTGACTTGGAGATAACAGAGCTGAAGTTTCCATCAGTAAATCATGACTGATTCCTGGTAACTTTTCATGACCTCAGCCTCTTTCCTTATGGAAAAAATGCCTTGCCCAGTCTTTCCTCCTGGCATCTGAATGTTTCACATCAGTTGGTAGAAAACTGGCACACCCTGAAAAGCGCTGGTGCTCACACACGCGTTCCAGCTGTGCCGAGCGATGCATGATACCTCATGTCTGTGTAACAGATGTGGGTGGGTATTTCCTTAACAAATTGACACATAATAAAGTATAAAAACACATGCAGGAGTTTGAGATTAAATTCAAATAAAAAAACAAAGCACAAATACAGTGCACATTCCTGAAAATGGAGGCAAAGCTGAGCAAGGGGTTACTGGATTTAGAAAGTTTGGTATTTCGGGAGCACTCTCTCACCTTTGCTGAAGAACATTTTTGAAACAGCCATTCTCCCCCATCTCTCGAGATGGCAAGTTTCTCTGTCAAAGCAGCGGAGTTGCGCTCTGAATTGTGATAGCTGCTGCGGATATTACGTGGGTGCAAAAATTCGATATATATAACCTGGTCTTGGAGGGGGGCACTAAAACCTAGCATTCAGACTTCCCCAGCAAAAAAGGTAGACTTAATACGGAAGGGAGTTCTCCCTTTGTGCGGTAGGTGATTGCGGACGTAACGCTTTTTCCCGCTGCTCTGGCTGGTTTTGTGGTGGTTTTGGAGAAGCTAAGCAGCATTTGTGCGCACTCACGCGGAGTGAGAGCGGGGGTTCGTTGCTGAATGCCGGGGGCCGGGGATGCCCAACTCTTCCTTCCCCCCCCTTTCCTTCATACAACAGACGCTTCCAAAATTAACTGCAGAGTGAAGATGAGGGTTAGCCCGGGTCTAGAAGTACCTCCCATCCCTGCTCGTGGGCCTTTGCAGATAGCTGGGATCGCGAGGTGTTGGGTTGTTCCAGATCTGGTACAGCAGCAAACTAGAAGCTGAAGAATCCTCCCTGTACATTTTTATCCTCCTGAAGATACTCTGAACCTTTGGCTCACTGACGGTATCCAGCGTGCTCCCTAATGTGACAAGTGCTGCGTTGATACACGGTGGCTTGGAGGCCGTCCCCAAATGAAGAAATCGTAGGGGACGTGACACCGGCATGTGTGGTGCATCCCCCGTCCGGCCGACTGCCCTGCTGGCGTGCAGCTCCGCTCAACTCGCTCCTAATAGCTGCAGCCCAGTGAAGGTTTTCCTGTGGTGCCGGCCACGGGCAGCGCTGGGAAGGGCACGAAGTTAACTCTTAGCTTACCAGCGCTCACTCCCTACCTCGTATTTAAACATCGGCTTCTCGAAGGAGCGTGCTTTCTCAGGGGTGTAACACGCCGGCCTTAAGTTGCCGTAGTGCCCCTCTCAAACTAACAGACGTCCCTTACCCTGGGGAGATAAAAGGATCCCGGTCCCACGTGTTACCTTTCTCTGGGGTGACTTTGGTGTCCTGTGCGGTCCCAGCCTGTTGCTCTTCACTGTCAGTAATTCCTGCTCCTTTTCTTTCTCTCTTTCTCCAGATGTGTCTTCGCTGAAGAGGAGAGTCGTCATTAGATTTTTCCAGGCGTTCGTACAGCAATAGCTTGAACACTGTCAGCTTTGGGCTTTCTTAAGTTATGGTTTTCTAATTTTTGTTATGAAATCCTTTCCCTTTATTTCCTCAACTCTTCTGTCCTCGTTTATTTTTCTGTGTAGATTCTGTTTGTTTCTGGAGGAGAGCTCATCACAGCACATGCACTTCTGGACTTTCTGCAGTTAGCACCATCTTGGAGATAAAAAGCAAATTCGGGTGTGGGATTGGATGTGTTGGGGAGAATCCAGGCGCACGCTTCCTTCCCGCTGCATGGTAACGCTGGCGTGAGTTTGTGTCTCGGACACTGACAGTCCAGTTGCTCTCTCCAGCCTTTCTGCTCCCTCGGCAGTCTTCATTACTGGTGAAATTATGTGGCTGAACTGGATTTTGGGGGCTCGCTCAGTTTTTGAGCTGTGCTGTGCTGCAGAGGGTGGGTCTGTTCAGCTTTATGCAGTCTCTTTTTTTTGGGGTGGGGTGGGGGGTAAATGTTCTGTTTTGGTTTTTTTTCAGTAATATTTAAAAACCTTTGGCGCTGGTGGTCTTGGTGCATTCATCACCGGCAATGAACTTTTAACCAGGAAAATCTTCCTGGAATAGAAGAGTTAATCTGGAACATGATCAGCTCTGACTGTGATGTGCTGCTCTGCAGGGATACAATTAACTTGGATCATGGGGGGGGGGGGGGGGGGGGGAAATTTCACCTCCTTGCATCAAGGGGGAGGTACAGAAAAGAAAGTGAACCACTTTCAGATGCTGCCTTTCAAAGCTCCCATCGCGCGATTGACCTGACCGAGCAGTTCATGGTGCTTTTTTTCGTTGACTGGAAGCGGAGCCTTCCGTTGCCTTTTTTTACACGGCGGAGCCGCGCATCCCGCGCTCGATGCGATACCGAAGTGCAGTTTCCCCGGGGAGGGGCCTCGCCATTTGCCTGCAGCGTTACTCGGTTTAGTTCCTAGACGCGCCCTGGCCTACCGTGACGAGCTCGGCGTTGCAGTTCTGGGGTGGGACAAGCACTCGCCTTTTTCTTTTCTTTTCTTTTTTCTTCCCTGCCCCTTGCTGCAGTGTAAGCGACACAGTTGTTGGTAATTTAGAAGAAAGGAAGAAAGCGCCTCGGTTGTCTGACGTGTCGTATGTCAGAACTCTTCAGTTCATTAAAGTTTGGAAAAAGCTGCGCGTCTCGAGCCTGGCTGAGTACGAACTCCCGTGTCGCCTGATGCCAAACTTGATTAAACACTGCCCTGTCCCATCTTAACTGATCTTTTCCACAGCCCGTCTTGCTTTATTCCTCACTTATTTTAAATCCACGCTGTAAAGATGCTTCTGGCCCGGAAAGCTTTGAGCCGTCTTCGTGTCTGTCAGTTACAGCAGTTCTGCAGGAAGGATCACGCGAGTCGAGGTGCTCTCTGGGCCGAGCAGACGCGGGCGGTGAAGTGGCTGCTCCTCTAGCAGCGCGAGATCGTTCCTCAGCTGTAGCACAGCTCCGTTTTCTTTCTCCTGAAATGTTTTTGTTTTGGCCAAACCTGTGCACCTGACTCGGTCATTAACTGCTTCTTTGTAATAAAAGGAATAACCAGCCAAGAGCTTGCTATGTTACTGCCATAGCTCAGAGGGAGGAAAAGGACTGAAGTGTAATACTGTCTAATTTTAAATGAATCCAGGGTAAGCTAGAAAAAGTTTGTTAGCCATATTTGCAGTGGTTTTTAGACATGTATTTCCAAAGCCTGGCTGAAATCATGGGGCTTCCCCCCAGCAGTGGAGCCTGGGGAAGGCGGCCTGAGCCCACAGAAAATGAGTGGTTTTAATGGAGTGAGGCTGGCAGCCGCCCGGGGGTGGTTTGCCCCCGCCCCCGGGGGAGCTGCCCGACCTCGCTGCCGCCGCCCGCTCCGCTCCCCAGGATCTGTGGGTTAAGTAGCCGCTGCCCCTGCCCAAAGCCGCCCTGGGGCGAGTGGTCGGGGGCCGCCCTGGCCTGGGCGCGGGGCCCTGTGCTGCCCTTCGGCAGCAGCCTCGGCCTCTGCCGAGCAGGGGGAGGCCTTGGTTCCTGCTGGGCTCCTGTGGCCTGGGTGCCCCGCTCCCGCAGGGGCTCTGCCTTCCCCTCGGTAGCTGTTTGCTGCGTGGCCAAGCGCGCGCTGGGCGCCCTGAGCCGTAGTGGTCGGGGGCCGCCCTGGCCTGGGCGCGGGGCCCTGTGCTGCCCTTCGGCAGCAGCCTCGGCCTCTGCCGAGCAGGGGGAGGCCTTGGTTCCTGCTGGGCTCCTGTGGCCTGGGTGCCCCGCTCCCGCAGGGGCTCTGCCTTCCCCTCGGTAGCTGTTTGCTGCGTGGCCAAGCGCGCGCTGGGCGCCCTGAGCCGTGGCCGCTCCCTGGGAGCTGGGGAGGAAGAACCCTGCGGCCCTCCCTGGGCTCCGGGTGCCAGCCCAGCTCTCCTCTCGACCGAGGGGAAGACTCGGCTGTCTCCGCAGCCCGACTGCTGGGCACGTTGCCAAAACCTTCCCGAAGCCATCTCGCCCCGCGCTGGGCTCCGCTGGCGGCGGGGCAGGGAGGAGGCAGCCCCGCGGCGGTCCCGTGCGCCCGGCCGGGGCTGGGGCAGCGCACCCCAGGGTGGCAGGCGCTTCCGCCTCAATGCCCGCGCTTAGCTGCGGCATTTTAGCTCCGTAGCTGGGACAGAAATGAGCATTTAAAGAAAGGACGATGCAGTGAAATTCTACAACTAAAATGGGCCTCCACGGGGCTTGGGAGCGGGGTCACGGTGGGACCTGGCTGGGGCACTGCTGTGCCTCACCAGCGCGGCCCCTTCCAGCCCAAAAGATGGACGGATCCAGCCGCCACCCAGGCTCTGCCTCTGTGGGGCCGTGGGCAGGGACGCGCTGGCTCCCTGGGCTGTCCCGGGGGTGCTGGCTGCGGGGGGATGGGGCTGGGTGCTGGCAGAGTGGAGCCCCCGGTCCCCCTCAGCCCGGGCTGGGTGCGCCACGCTGCCGGCAAGCGGCCCAGGGCGTGAGTGTGGGCCAGCGGCAGCTGAACCGGGGTCCCGGGGGGGCCCAGCGAGCCCCGGGGCAGCAAAGCCAAGGCTGCAGCAGAGACCTGGGGTGCTTCTCCCACCCCCCTGCTGCTGGGCCTCTGGGACCAGCCAAGACCCCTTCTCCCAGCAGCACCCACCTCTGCCCTCCCTGGGGCCGGGTGCCTCCTGCCTGCCTTCTCCAACCCCAGCGTCTTCCCTTCGCCGCCAGCCCCTGAGGAGGTGACGCAGGGTGCTCCAGGCGCACCTCGAGCCAGGACGCAAACCCCAGCCTCACGGCACGGGAAGGCGAGACCCAGCTCGGCTTCATCACCGCCTTGGCTTCATCACCGCCTCGTCGTGGCGCCGCTGCAGGACTGGCCCCGCCGAGCCCAGGGGCACCCGCAGGGCCCCCCGGCGTGTGCTGCGGGTGCAGGTGCCCCCAGCACCGTGCGG